AAACAACAGAAAAATATACTAATTTCAAAATATGTTTTTAAAAAAGAGTCAAGTTTGGCATTGGGGGAGTTTCAATAATATCTCCTCTTAGATGGGTACAATTTCAATAAGTTTTGTAAGGTTGGCGAAAAAGTTTTATTGACATTCGTAGAGAAAAGTTTATCAAGTTAATCTATTCATGGTAAAAATTATTCAAATTTTTACTTTCATATAATATAAATATCACTTTCATAAAAAAATGTTTTAATAATGTGAACAATTCTCTCAAATATTTTTTTTAATGTTATTTAATATAATTTTTCAGTACTTTTTAAATGTCACACCATAGGACATATTTACAGTATCGTTGAGTGAAAACGTGAAAATAATATGTGAAGTCATTGACAAAATGAGTTACCACTACTATTTTCTGAAAATGCAGTTTTCATACTCCATACATATATGTATTTTTTCTTTAAAAGTTATGTTTTCCTAAAAAAGTACTTTTTCTTGGCCATTTGTCAACTACCCATTGTCAGAAAGGTCTGAGTTTTAAGGTTCCATATTTAGAATATTTATATTTTGACAGAAGTGATATTTGGATAGAAATGTATTAATTTGTTATGGCAAAATGCATACAAATAAATTCAATGGAATTCAATGGCATCTGGTGGCTATTTTTGGTACTACGCCTAAACAAAATCTCATGGGAACTTCAATTTTTGTGATATCAACTTCAAATTTGGAACACAACTTGGTTAGATATATAGCTTTCATTTTATAGTAATTTTATAGTAAAACATATTTTGTAAAACATATTTCATATTAAAAAAATATATTAATAAAGTATATTTGATTTACTGTAAATTATAACTTCCATAACTTTTTCATTTTTTGAAGTGCTTTCAATTTAATAATAATCTGCTGATTGTTTTCTTTAAAACAAGACTAAACTTAGGTCTGTATTCCAAAGCATTCTTGAATTACAACCATTTAAGTTTGTATAGTGCATTTTAATGTCAATTATCAAAAAGGGTGACAGGTAAAGGGTTAAGAGTCTTCTCGGGTCTCTCTCTTACCCGAGAAATGTTTGAGGAACAACATGTATTTTAATTGTGGCTATAGAGCCTCCTACAAAGTCAGGACATTGGAATTCATGTTATTATGGCAACACCTTTTAGTTGACACTTATTTGTGTTTCTCACACTGACTTAAAGTTCATTGCTAGGTTTTTGGGTTGCCTTTTAATTTATCATTTTTGAAAGTGCTATTAGTGCATTAGTAAAATTGTTGTTTTGATTTTTTTTTTTTTGTGCACTTGCTCCACATAGGAATGGAATCATCAAAAGAGCTTTGCTTTCTCACATGGAATATTTGTGGGGCAAAAGATCTAAGACGACACATTGATGTTCTGTCAAAGCTAGGAGCAGAAATTGTCTTTCTGCAAGAGACACATGTTAAACCCGATGATGACACGACATTAGAAAACCTTGAAGGATGGACATGTCTCTTCACAAACTATGATTCCCGTAGCAAAGGAGTGGCAATCTTAATAAAAGATAGTGTATCATTTCAGTACATATGTCATGATGAGGATTGCACTGGAGGGTATCTCGTACTCTTCTGTCGTCTCCGTGGTGAGCTGTTTACGCTTGTTAATGTGTACCAACACAAAGATGACAAAGATGTCCTTAACAATCTGACAGATTACTTGAGGGAAACAGCTAAGGGGGTACTTGTGGTCGGAGGGGATTTCAACACAGTTCTGGACCTTAGCTTTGATCGAAAATCCAAAGCAAAAAAATTAAAACATACGCCACTAAATAACATGTTTAAAAAATTCTCAGCCTCGCTAAACCTTATCGATACTTGGGCTTACTTTCACCCAACAGACAAGAAATTCACCTATTCTCAGAATGAAAGTTCATCTAGATTAGACATGTTTCTTATGCGTGATGAGGATTTAGAACAAATAAAGGATGTCAAAATCTACAAAAAACATGAAAGTAGTGTGGATACAAGTTCAACAAGTAGAAAGGAAAGGATTCCTTCAAATCATGTACCTGTATATATTCATCTCAAAATGAAGGGACAATCTAGCAATGAAGTGCCAAATGTTGCTTCATGGTTAGAGGCCAGTGGATTCAAGGGAGAACCAGACAGAAGAGCAGGAAAGATAAATGGGGCAGAAATACTCAGTGTGATCAAGTCTTTAACTGACTCTGGGCACCAACGGCCTGATGGTTTTAGTGTACAAACATACAAGGACTGTAGTTGTCCATTAACAGAGATCTTAAAAATACAATTTAATCATTGGATGAAATGCCAACAGTTACCTAAAGATTTATGTGCATCAGATGATAGGAAACATTTCAATGTGGATTATTTGATTTTCACTATGATTCTGGCCAAACGCCTTAATGTACTACTGGAGACTTCCTCAGAAGAAAAGGTCCAAGTAAATAACAATGAATGGTGCTTTGTGACCTTTGCAGTAAAACCACATGAAATTAAATGGTCCTTCTTAGCAAACAGCCTCTCAGACCTTTTAGAAAATGTAATCGAAAAATCTAAAACACTTTCGCAAGAAATTATTATCCCTCTGGAAGGGTTAGTTGATGAGGATTCAACAAATACAAAAAGCATCTTAAAGGTTATTCTCCCTAAAGGCAGCAAACCTTCAGATGACCTCAGAAAGTTACAAGATGGCTGCCCACTCACGAGGTCCATCCTCAGTTTGGTCCTAAAATATCTGGAAATTCAAATAAGAAAGAAAAACTACACAACTCATGTCTCCCATTCTAGACAAGTTGTAGTGATACAGCAAAACTATCAAAGATCGTGTGAAGACTTGGGTAGTCTATGTAAGAAATTCAAGGAAAAGTCTGGGATTGAATTGAATATTGTTGAAATAAACAATTGAACATAAACAATTTTGTTTGGCAATCCAACATCATGCTGGGAAAACATGAAAATGTTTTTTTGTTTTTTATAAGTTAGTAAAGCTGTTTTCCCCCATAAAACTAATATATCATTAGAGACAGAAAGGAGATCAAGAGATGACAAATAAAGTATAAGTGAATTCCAGAGTATAGTGCTTGTTATATTCAGAGAATTTATAAATGTGTCATTCTTATTATTTGTTCAATCTGTAATTTGGCTCTGCTTCAGATTTTTAATCAGTTTAACAATATGAATGCATACATTTTTATACAGTGTTATATTTACTGTGTTCTGGTTATTCCTGTCCAGGGACCACAACTATCTGTTTTTATACATGATTCTTACACCCTGAATGTTTTATTTCAATGAAAAGTTTGTGTAGTTTTCTATTCATAACTTCTTTCTTGTGAGTTCTTTGCATCCCATGTGTCTTTCAGAAGAATAAAAGTATATTTCACAATCAATATTTACTAAAATTCAAGAATTAGGAATAGAGTTGGTGTCGTCCATATATTTATAAAAAATACAAATCAATACTTTTGTGGTGATTCTGAAGGTTGTAATATATGTGTATTGCCTGTGTATTGTAATGACTTCCTGCAGTTATGCGGCATTCATGCAAAATCTCTACTAAACATGCAAATATGGCGAATTAAAATAAACTGGTCTGTCAGGTAAAATGTGACTTATGTTTGGGTTTCATTCTTTAGGGATTGCCTGAAATTAAAAATACCTATATCTTGACACTGTAACGAGTGTGTGCGGTATGAGGAAGATGACAAGTGAAACCAGACTGAAAGTCAAAGAAAACGAAAGAAAACTGAAACTGACAGAATGGTGACATTGCAAACCATAAAAAGTCAGATAATCCCTGAGGAATTTTCTGTTTTGCCATGAATGTGAATATGAATATTTGTATTTATACTAATATTGAATATTGATGGGATTCAATGGATTGAAAAAAGTATAAAATTTATAATACAAATAAATTTATATACAATTAATATATAGTAAAATTAATTTACAATTAAAGCTGCAAGCAGCGATGAAAGGGCCCTCGCACCCCTGCTATTGCCACCCGGTGGCTTTAGGAAGACAGAGCATGGTGGGCAATGTGCTTTTAATTATGTAAATATAGGTGTAGTATTTCAAAGTCAGTTAAAAAATGTCCTTTATTATGGGGATAATAGCATGCGTTATTACTCAGACAAGTGTTGCTAGCATGTTTGGAACTCAGTGGCATATTTAATATGTCGGTACATCACACTGTTAAATATGTCACTTCTTGTTGCCAGTAGGTGGCGTTATAACTATATTTTGGAATGTAGATGTCTTCAGACTAGGACACTTATAAAACATGTTAAATTTGGAGCACATTGTAAATTGCATGCTTAGGTTATATCAACTTCCTTCTGCATGTACAGTATGTGTTAGCACTTAGCGAAGTGTTTGCTAGCATTCTAGTATGTTGTTAGCATGTTTAGCATTTTGTGGCACTTTTTATGTTTAGGAGTCCATAACAGTGTTAAACATGTCACTTCCCTTTGCCAGTAGGTGGCGCTATTGCTGTAACTGAATATTCTCATGTAGATGTGTTCAGGCCATGACTCTTATAAAATGTTTGAAGTTTGGGGCAGATTGAACTGCAATTGGGGTCCGCCTTCACCCCCCTGTTGTGTACGGGAGTGGGCTTCAGGAAGCCATAAATAATTATATCCTGCATAAACAACAAGTCCTGCATCTCACTAGAGAGAATTCAGTCAAAATATTTTTCATTTAAAACAGCTTTATAAGCATTCTCATTCAAACACAATACATTGCGTTATTCTGACATGAAACAGTTGCTTTTGACTTAACTCAATATTTTCATGTTTCAGTTAAAGGGATACTCCACTTTTTTTGGAACTAGGCTCATTTTACCACTCCCCCAGAGTTGTCTGGTTACTGATATTCTTCTAAATATTGGAAAATCGTCTGAATGGATTCAAAAACTGGATTCAACCCAACTGTTTAACTCTGAGGGAGTTGTAAAATGAGCCTATTTCCAAAAAAAGTGGAGTATCCCTTTAAGTATACCAAAAACATTTGATGCTTGCTCAATATACTTAAAGGAACACTCCACCGTTTTTTGAAGTAGGGCTTATTCATATTCTTTCCTACATTTAGATATGTGTGCAAATGCATTTTTGTCTCAGTGCATGCATTGTTTTAGTTTGACAGGGTCGGCGCTAGCTTAGCTTAGCACAATGAATGGAATCCTTTGTTGCCAGCTAGCATGTCCTGAGTAAAAGTGATTAAAAAAATAAACAAACCCACGTAATTACTTCTTGTGGCCTGCGTATTCACAACAAGTACAAATAGAGATGCAGATTAACACTAGGTGATATCTTAGGCAGATATTGACTTGGGACTAAATTAGGGGGAAGCACAGGCGAAGCACTGCTGCTTAGGCGAATCACTGCTACTTGGATCGGTCCTCCAAAGACTGGATGCTACAATCCACCCCAACATTGAAAAGTCCTATTTCCAGTCTCTTCATTGCAGTGGTCACTACCTCGTCAGCTGCCTCATAGGTAAAGTGCTTCTTTGTACTTCGCAGCCTCTTCTCTTTCAGCACTGCCTCAACATTCATGCTTTCACAGAGCTCTTTTGCAGTGGTCTGAGCATCCACAAAACCAGTTGCCCTGTAGGTCTGTAGAGATGCTTTGGTTTTATTTATGAGACTCACTGCTACGTCCAGCTGCATGTTGACGGACTGAAGGAGTTTGCTAACTGTGTTAATTTTTGATAGAATATCATACCAGACAACTGTGCAGATCTGCAACCTGAATGATCCAATTTCTTCTGCCAGGGACTGGGCCTCGATTCTAATCATAGGGTCAATTGTCTTTTCCCTCACCTCAAGCAAAGCTTTCCTGACTTTGACGGTGTGGTAACGTAAAGGTTCAATGCTGTTAATTCTGCTCTCCCACCTTGTTTCACTCCAGGTCTTGACAGTGAGGTCCACATGATCTTTTAAGATGGCCCACCTCTGGGAAGCAGCTGCAAATAAGGTGTACAATTTCTGCACCACTCCGAAGAAGTTAGTGGCATCCGCTGACCCCTTGGCTGAATCTGCCACCATCAGATTTAATTTGTGGGCTGCACAAGGTACATATAGAGCTTGAGGATTCTTCTTCAACAGTCTGGCCTGTGTCCCTTTATTTTGGCGTTTCATGTTGGCACCATTGTCATAAGATTGTCCTCTGCAATTCTCAAAGGGGATGTTCAGCTCTTCTAGCCTTCTTAGAATTAGTGTGGATAAGCCGAGTCCAGTTAATTCATGGGCTAATAGGAACCCCAGGAAGTGCTCTCTGACTTCTGGTGTGTTTTTTAGGTCGACTATACGGATCACAACAGACATCTGCTCCTGGTGGCTGACATCTGGAGTGCCATTCAAAATCAGGGAAAAATACTTTTACTCCTTGATTTGAACCACAATTGTACGAAGAATGGTGTCACTGATGCAAGCAATGAGCTCATTTTGTATCGTTTTCCCCAAGTATGTTGTGTGATTTGCTCTACTGTCAATGTGTCGTACATGTTCTTTTAAAACAGTATCAAACTTTGCTAGTAATTCCACCTCTTTTAGGAAGTTACCATTATTGTTGGCATGTAACGTATCAACAAATCCTCTAAGACCCATGTTCCTCTCTGCTAGAGATTGTATGATTGACACAAGCCTAATGAGGACCTCTCTCCACCTGTTTCTCTCTGCCTCTAAGAGGGACAATTTAGTCTGATCTATTGTCTCCCCTTTTCGTAGACGGACTTCTAGCTCCTTCCAAGACAGCAAATTTTTAGCATGATCTGGGCTGTTTTCATGCTGCTTAAGTAATGTGCCAATATTGATACAGTCTTGTTGACCATCTGTACTGAGTTTTGTTTACTGTTTTTGTTGTAAATTGTTTTCAAAAAAATCGACAGCATTATTTTTCTGTAAATATGTTAACCAGCTTAACCTTTTCACCAATCGTAAGAGATCGAAACATGTAATTATAGTGAAACCTTCTATTGTCTGATTGTCTTTTTGGAAATGTGAAGTCGTGGTCAACATGTGCTGGTCCTCTGCTCACCAGATCAATGCGTACTTTGTCATTAATGACTGTTGGCCAGTCAGCTGGATCCAATGGAGTAGAAAGAGAGCCAGGTGATGTGGTGGAAGGCATGGGGGTACTGCTCACCACTTCAACAGGAGAAAGACCTATGGGGAAGATTAACACACAAAAAAAATCTTAATTTTAGTAAATTGACATATGTTGGATGTTAGTTTTCCTAGCGGTGAATAATTGTTAATTTATTGTCGATGTAGGCCTAAACTTACCAGCATTGCCAGCTGCTTGTGTGACAGTGGAGCTGGAGGTAGGGGTGGATGAACCGGCTAAAAAAATAAATAAAAATAATGTAATTAATTACTGACTGAACTGAAATGACCTGTGTCCCTAGCATCGAACCTGGATGATCTTAAAATGCAATCTGCCATTTTCTTTTTAAAAATGTACTTTAGATAAAATGTATTTTTCAACATTAGCAGCTTTGGAGGAACCTCCATCATGTTGCTCAATAATCAGTTCTTAAAAACAGATACTACAAACTCACCTTTATGACATATTTCATTTATGAGCAAAGGACAGGACACTACAACAAGTGGGGAATGTATCTATCTCTATAGGTTAAACTAAAACACAGAACTTACAAGCATTGTCAGCTGGTATCTTTTTACTTTTTTTGTAAAGTTATCATTTTACAGCCCCTTTATTAATACTTACCAACAGCTGGAGCTTTGCTTACTGGCAGCATATACTTTAACAATGCTCCTGGAAAGGGGACATAAGGAGTACATTAATGTTAGCCCTTTAGTGTAGAAGCCAAACTGGGTTTATATTGTTCTGTTAAATGCTTTAACACCACAGCAAATGGTATAATTTTAATACTAAACCAGTTTTATGCAGCAGCAGCATATTATTAGCATGTAAAAAAACAAATGTAGCATAGCGGAAATTTAAAACAAGCACGATTTAGGCTTATGATAAAATAAGACTTTTAGTGCAGATTATCCATACAGATATCGGAAAAATTAAGCCCACAGCAGGCTTACGTTTATCTTCTTGTTTTTTCTCTTCTTCCAGCCTCTTTTTTTGCCGTTTTTCATGGCCAGAAAGATATTTGCGTTTCTTGTCAGACATCGTCGATTCGCTAACTGACATTGACTGACGAAGTGACAACGAGTGACATCATAAGTCAGTCAGGATCAAGACTTACTCGCGCCCTCGCAGGGACAGAGCTCCCAGCTGATTTGCCATAAAATAACAAAATAATAAATAACAACTTTGTGCTTATCATGATGCCTGATAAAGAGCACTGTAGGCCAATTTCTTTTTTTATTTATTTATTTATTTTATGTTACTTTTGTTTGCGATAGCTTTTTTTTTTTTTAAAGCTAGCTCTTGGGGGCCCTCTGCTGGCCACGGGGCCCTTTGCAATTGCAACGGTCGCTTAGTGGCTGGGCCGGCTCTGAATATGGAACTGAGAAATAAATGGCTAGCTGCTCTGGAGATCTGTACATTAACGCCTCTATACAAAATAAAACCGTTTTGTTGCGAAGAGCATTTTGCACTTGAGGACTACTTTTAAAAAAATGGAATATGAGCCCAGAAAGACGGGAATGTTACTACGTCTGAAAGATATGGCTGTCACATCTATTTTCAAAGCGCAGGCAGAACAAAGTGCACATGTAAGTTTTCTTTTATTAAAATAATTGTTTATCTGTGTCTTTATTCTGTTGTAAGATCGATGCTGAGAAGCTGTATCTAGACTACGAATGTCATGTTGAATTCCACCTGTTTAGCATGAACAGCCTGTTATCGTTATATAATTATCCATTTGGTCCATTCGGCGTGGGGCGTTTTTTCCAGTTCAACTTATTGTCACAGGTCAAGGGGAGGAACGCTCGGGTGACCAACCACCCCCCCTCTAACCGAGTCACCACCGTGAGGAGCCGACACCACAGGCACACAACAGAGGACCACAGAGATAAGTTTCAAAGGAGTAACAATCTTTATTAAACCAAGGGTTTCTCACAGTTTAAGATACTCTCGTTGATGCACGATAATGGAGCAGGGGGTTTGCAGCTTACTTTTCCCCCAGCGGTGCTGCAGACTTCCAGACTCATACAGTAAGTATGGCAGGTAAGGATTCTTCGCAGTACAGAGTACTCTCGTTGGTGCACGGTAATGAAGCAGTTGATTAAAAGCTTACTTTTCCCCCAGCGGTGCTGCAGACTTCCGGACTCATACAGTAAGTATGGCAGGTAAGGATTCTTCACAGTACAGGGTACTCTCGTTGGTGCACAATAATAAAGCAGTGGATTAAAAGCTTACTTTTCCCCCAGCGGTGCTGCAGACTTCCAGACTCATACAGTAAGTATGGCAGGTAAGGATCTCTCTCTTCAGTTCACAGTAGGGCGACAGTGGGTTAAACGATTACTTTATCAGCATTGCTGTATACAGTACTTCTGGGCTCAACAGTAAGTAGAACAGGTGAGGATATTCACAGTACACAGTACTCTCTCTTCAGTTCACAATAGGGAGGCAATGAGTCATAAGGTTACTTTACCAACGGTGCTGTATGCTTCTGGGCTCAAACAGCAAGTAGAACAGGTGGGGATCTTCACAGTACAAAGTACTCTCTCCTCAGTTCACAGTATGGCGACAGTGAGTCAAACGATTACTTCACCAGCGATGCTGTATGCTTCTGGGCTCAAACAGTAAGTAGAACAGGTGAGGATCTTCACAGTACACAGTACTCTCTCTTCAGTTCACAGTATGGCGACAGTGAGTCAAACGATTACTTCACCAGCGATGCTGTATGCTTCTGGGCTCAAACAGTAAGTAGAACAGGTGGGGATCTTCACAGTACACAGTACTCTCTCTTCAGTTCACTGTATCACTCTGGGCTTCTGACGGGGGCAGATATAATAACCTTCCACGAACGTGTAAGCATGGATAGGGGCCACTTCTCAGCAAAGACACATCACACTCGTGTTCACTTCAATTCCACAGCCAAAAATCAATGTGTATTAATAAGGCAAAAGCACTGCAATTCACTCACACGGTAGGGCTGATCAGAGGCCTCGCTCGGTTTGTTGTGCTCACTTTACATGGGGTTTCACTTTCAATTCCTCCTCCACACACTCTGAAACACATAGCTCCTCCAACAGTCAGATCCACACTCACTGTATCCTCTTCAAGCGGTTTAAATGTTCATAAGATAAAATCAGTTCACTTATCTTTGCTCTCTCCTTTCCCAGCACAGATCCAGTCGATAGCTCAGTCCAGCAGTCTTCCTACAAACGATCACTCTGTTCCAGCAAGCTTAAATGGGCGTCTCTCCCTTTCCCCTTCCCCTTTCCTGTCAGTGGGTCCTCCATCTGAGCCTTCCCCGTCTGTGTCTCCCCCGTCAGTGTCTCCCCAGTCTGAGCCCCTTTTCTCCCTTCTGTCTGTCTCCTTTTATCTCGTTTATCTTGACTCGTCAAACAGGAAACCTGTGTGAGTGCCGCTCCTCTCTCTCGCACCTGCAGTGCATTAGCGCTAATCAGTGCGGGCATGATTCCATCACGCCCGGAACCGCAGTGGTGTGTTGCACACAATCCGTTCCCCTAGGGAACTTGCGACTCTGAGGAGAGTTCCGATCGCCAAGCGATTTTGTCACCCGTGACATCATCACACCGGAAAAAATATCGAGTAACGTTACTGCAGGCTGGATCAGCGCCGTGAAATCCTCGGTAGCTGCTACACAACTGTGGGCACGCTCATCTTGATCTGATGCGTTGAGCCTGGTCACCGATGGCAGTAACTGGTCCCACTCTCCACAGCACAGACAGTCTATTTCGATTGGCATAGGTTGGCATATTCCCCCACATTCACACCACCAGTTCGTGTTGGCTCTCAGACTCACGTCCTCAGGCTGTTGAGCGATCTCAACCTCCTCCTCCTGTTGGTCTATTCTAAAGCACGCAGCTCCTCTTCTGTAAACTCTGGTTCAAATAGGTATGGCTCTGGCTCGTCTGAGAAGTCTCCCTCTTCGCCTCTCACAAAATCAGCCATGTTCATCGCCTGTCATGTACTGTAAGGAAAATAGTCAGGCGGCTACTATTCAAGCCGGTATGTTTACGGAAGTCGTGGGATTTCATGTGTTGCGTGATGTCTCGGCGCCCAAGTAGCAGTGATTCGCCTAAGCAGCAGTGCTTCGCCTGGGCTTCCCCCTAATATAGTCCCAAGTCAATATCTGCCTAGGAAATCACCTAGTGTTAATCTGCATCTCTATTTGTATTTGTTGTGAATACGCAGGCCACAAGAAGTAATTACATGGGTTTGTTTATTTGTTTAATCACTTTTACTCAGGACATGCTAGCTGGCAACAAAGGAATCCATTCATTGTGCTAAGCTAAGCTAGCGCCGACCCTGTCAAACTAAAACAATGCATGCACTGAAACAAAAATGCATTTGCACACATATCTAATTGTAGGAAAGAATGTGAATAAGCCCTACTTCAAAAAACGGTGGAGTGTTCCTTTAAACCTGTTTTTCTCAAAATTCCATTTCTGAAAATCAGATAACCATAACTTTTGTTACAGACAAACGATAAAAGAAATAACAACAGATTTGGAAAGGGCTTGAACCCAGCTTCAATATGACTACAAAACCTGTAATATGTCAAATTTCACCATGTGGTGGGTTTTCCCAGATCGCATCACACGTATTCTAAATAACCAACACAAAAAAGGTCTACATTGACAAATAGAGGGGCTAATTATTTCACACAGAAAACATGTTGGAATATTACAGCACACTCTGGTGTCATGACTGCACAAATTAGTCACGCAGTTCAACAATAAACTAGTTTGAATGAACATAAATACATTTCAAAACATTCCTTACAACACAGTATAAACATACAACAGTAGTCAGAACTTGCTTGCTTTTCATAAAACGAACACAAAAGTAAAGAAAGGGGCCTCTGAGTCTCCTCTCGTCATCACTGAGTGTGAACAACTGCATTTCCTGTCCAGGAGCAGTTGATGGAGCGCGAACGCACTTAGGAAACCTCAGCGCTGAACAAATACCCACTGTGCAAAGTTACCTCCAGATGACGTAGTTTCAACGATGTGCTTGTCCGTCCTATGTCGGTCTCAGGAGGGTGCAGACTGTGACGCCAATCAACGTATTTTTCCGACGTCTACCGAACTTCCTGTATGGACTTCCACAGGACTTCTGTTTAAGGGCTAAATGTAGTCCAGATATGGTCGTTGTGGATGTCTCATTTTGGTCCCCTATGGGTGCAGACTGTAACGCCAGACGACGTCTTATTTAGTCGTCCAACAAACGTCCTGTATTAACGTCCATATAATTTCTGTTTAAGGGCTAATTATACTCCAAATGTGGTCATTGTGGACGTCACATTTTTATACCTTAAAGGTGCAGACTGTGAGCCAAACGACGTCTTATTTAGTCCTCCAACAAACGTCCTTTATTAACGTACAGGTACAGTGCTTTGATACTGCACTGTTCATAACCTTTGTCTCATTTCAACTGTTCCAGTTAATTTTTCTGTTGCTTCATTTGATTGCTTTCCTTTCCACCACCACTCTAACTCAACTGGAAACACATTTCAATGTAGCCTAATCCAATCTATTTCCTCTACAGGAAAATTAACTGGTACAGAAAACAGGCCCTCCACCCACTGGGAAGGGATAGGCATACAGTTATGCACTGATGTTTTGTAAATCACAGTATGATGTGCACAATTTCAGTAACACAACTATCACACAAGTCCAAAACAAGACGCAAATGTTGAGTGTGTGTGTGTATGTGTGTGTAATTAAGAGATCAGATGCAAAAGCCTTTAAGTGCCATTTGAAATTTTCTTCTAGAATGATAATTTTTGTCAAGCTTGTATATTTAAGTTCAGTAATTTCACTTAAATGGCAATGAAGATTACCTATTAATTGTCATTTAAGTGAAATTACAGAACTTTTTATCTTTGAAATTACTGTATATCTTTGTGTTTCCGAAAGGCCTCTTGCCTTTTTGCCCCCTCCCCTTCATATTAAAAGATGCCATTAAGGCATTAGAGAAGAGTCTAAAGGAAAAGAATTTACATTTAGAAATCAATAGGATAATGTGTGTTCT